ACAGAGATGCTGCAGTGGTTGTAAGTGTGAAAAAAAATGGTCCTACGTCACTTTTTTTTTCAGCACTGTTGTAGCTTCGAATGGTCACTAAATGAACTGTGGTAAGTCGAGGACTACTGTCAGGATTCCGACAGTCACGCAATTTAAATCATGAGTCTCGAGCCAAACTTCTAAAACTTCAAAAGGATTTATTGGGAGTTAACATGCCGGCACTGCCTGGGGGGAGCTGACTCTGAGACACCTCATTCCTTATCACCCTTGACCCTGGTTTCCCCCCCACCCCACCCCCTGGGAGTATCGTAATTCCTATTCTCCAATGGGACACCTCCATAGCCAAGAGGCATCAATCATGCTCTCCAGTTAGATTTTAGCACAGCAGAAACTTAAGTCACCTAGTTACTATCTTTGAAAATATTTCTGGAATGCACTTTCGGTTTGCAAGCTGTTGGCAACTCTAAAAAGACCATATGTTGGTCTTTTTATGTTTTATGAGTTGACAACTACCTGCATTTATGCGCAACTCAAGGTTAAACTATATGCAGGTAGTCCTTGACTTATGACCGCAATTGTAAATAACAGTGTATGGGTGTGTCTGTTGTAGCTTTGCATGATCGCTAAGCCACCGGGGGTGGGGGTGGGGGAAGTGACTTAGGTGCGTGTTTCACACTTACGACCGTTGTGTGTCATTCCCCAGGGTCACGTGATCAAAATTCAGACCTCTTGGTTCATATTTATGACGGTTGCAGTGTTCCCAGTGTGTTCGTGTGTGTGTGTTTGTGTGTGTTACCTGATCTCCTCCTCCTTTATTTATTTATTTATTTTTATTTTTATTATAAGAATACATCACAGTGCATTCATTCTGGCATTACAATCGTAATGTAATGTATATATGTATAAATTTTACTTCACCGTTTACAATCCCCTTGTTCGATACGTTGCTTGCTAATTATCCTGATCCTCATAGCTACTTAGGTTCCGACTTTGCCTTCTTCTGTGCAACAAGTGATACAATTAATTCAACGTTTCGTAATACTCCGATTTCCCCCTTGTCGCAGCGAGCGACCGGTCCGTTGTTATCATACTGAGCTAACGTGTCCTGGGATGGAAAGTAACAACAGTCAGTGTTTCGTGATCATATTGAAACATTTTGCAGTTGGCTAAAACAAGGTCATTAGATACGTGCAAACATCCCTGTATCCGTGTTTGACAATGTCTGCTTAATGGTGGAATAGCTACACCCCCTCTTGGTTTTGTTTTTTTTTTAATTCTAGGTCCGATTCTGCACAGGCCGTAATTTTCCTTATGGTCTCTGTTTCGGGCGGCTTGCTTCCCTTCTTCCAGGATTGCGCATATATTATTCTAGCCACCATCAACGCATGTACTATTAGATAAATTAAAAACCCTTCCTATATCCTTCTGGTGTTATTCCTAAAAGGAAAAATAAAAATGACCTTCGGACTAGGAAAATCAACGGAGGAGGCCAGATTCGCATCCCAAGTGTGCAAGGGTGGGTTGCAAAAATTTTAGCAGCCGGGTTCTCTGCCTGGTTGCTGGGTGGGTGTGGCCCGTGGTGGGCGTGGCCTAGTCAGACTCCTGCACCACGGGGGGGGGGGTCATTTTCATCTTCCCCAGAGTCCTGAGGCTTCCCTTGGGCCTCTGGGAAGTCAAAAATGTCCTCCCCTGGGATCCAGAGGGTCTCCAGAAGTTGGAAATAGACCCATTTCTGGACTTACTGCACTTACCTGGGAACCAAAATGTGCCACCTTGAGACTCCTGGGAGGGGCAGGGCAGGGCGGGCGGGCCCAGCCACAGTCATTGCAACGATTGGTTCTGTGAACCAGATTTAAAATGAGCAAAGAGAGAAACAACCAGAATGAAGGAGAAACTTTCCGACAAGGGAAGACAATTCGCCAGTGGAACTGCCTGCCACCAGAAGTTGTGGCTGCTCTATCGCTGGAGGTTTTCAAGAAGAGATTGGACAGCCCATTTGTCTGAAATGGTATATAAGGTTTCCTGCTTGAGCAAATGGTTGCACTAGAGGATAACAGATAACAGATCATCAGATCAACTGATGATTGATATAGATACAGATTAACAGAGCTGGAAGGGACCTTGTAGGTCATCTAGTCCAACCCCCCGCCCAAGCGGGAGACCCTACACCATTTCTGACCGATGGCAGTCCAATCTCTTCTTGAAAGTCTCAAGTGATGATTGATATAGAAACAGATTAACAGAGCTGGAAGGGATCTTCTAGGTCATCTAGTCCAACCCCCCATCCAAGCACCCTACACCATTTCTGACACGTGACAATCCAGTCTCTTCTTGAAAGCCTCCAGTGATGAAGTTCTCACAACTTCTGAAGGCAACTTTTGTTCCATTGGTTGATTGTTCTCACTGTCAGAAAGTTTCTCCTTATTTCCAGGTTAAATCTCTCCTTGTTCAGTTTCCATCCATTATTCATTGTCTGGCCTGCAGGCGCTTTAGAAAATAGCTTGACCCCCTTCCTCCTCTCTGGGGCAGCCCCTCAAATATTGGAAGATGCTCTCCTGTCTCCCCTGGTCCTTCTCTTCGCTAGACTAGCCAGGCCCAGTTCCTGCAACCGTTCATCGTATGTTTTAGTCTCCAGTCTCCTCATCATCCTGGTTGCTCTTCTCTGCACTTTTTCTAGAGTCTCAACATCTTTTTTATAATGTGGTGACCAAAACTGGATGCAGTACTCTAGGTGTGGCCTTACTAAGGCTTTATAGAGTGGTATTAGCACTGGTATTCCTGGTATTAGCTGACGTCCAAGGCCCCTCCCATCTCTGTTATTCTGTAAAGTATTCTGTAAAACCCCAGAAGGTTGGAGGCCGCTGGACTAGATGACCTCCACGGTCCCTTCCAATTTTGTTATTCTGCTGTTTTTTTTGTGTTTTTTAGTGAGTGCCACCATGTTTGAGAACTGCACCGGTTGCGTTATGTGCTCCGAAGACAACGGCTGCGTCTCCTGCCAGCAGCGTCTCTTCCTCCTCATCTGGAGGGATGGGATCCGACAGTACGGGGCCTGTGTCCACGCCTGCCCACTGGGCTACTACGGGCAGAGAAGCCTGGAAGTCAACCGATGCATCAGTAAGTAGCCAGCGTTGTTGTGAGTGTGTGAGCCAGAGGTGGTATTCCAGCAGGTTCTGACCGGTTCTGGAGAACCGGTAGCGGAAATTTTGAGTGGTTAGGAGAACCGGCCAATCCCACCTCTGACTGGGCCCCGCCAACCCCACCTCTTCTCTGCCTCCTATTGAGTCCCAGCTGATCGGCTGGGTCTCCTTTGGTTGCCCTGCACAGGAGAACGGAGCTGGAAAGCAGGTTAGTGGGGTGGGATGCAGGGGTGGGATGCTACCAGTTCGGCACGGTCTGAAGAGCAGCAGACACCGAACCCGCTTCGGTGTCTGCTGCTCTGTTTGGCCCACCCACCCGCCTGGGCTCTTACCTGTCCTTTATTTCCTGCTTTTTCAACCTCAGGTGCTTTATCTGTCATCTATCTATCTATCTATCTATCTATCTATCTATCTATCTATCATCTATCTATCTATCTATCATCTATCTATCAATCTATCTATCATCTA